AGAGAATTGTAATCGGCCTTACTCATAAAAATCGACTTCAAATTATATGCCTATAATTAGAATAATTGCGCAACTGCTTAAAGTTGCTCTCTCCCTTTACTAAATGACAGTAAATAGGGACAGGTATAGAGATAATTAACCATCATTTGTAATATAATCATAATCAATGATTCCCCTATTAAAATGATAATTACAACCATTATATCAAAATTAATAACCACAACCGCATTGTAAATCACAACATAAATTGCATTAGCCGTTATTCCAATGCTACTCGCATGCTCAATGGGAATGCAAACGCCGCGCACGCCTCTCTATGGATTTTTCCTCAGTCTTGTGTACATTTTTGTCTTATAAATAAATAAATACAAAAACAGTATTGTTGCTATCTCACTACATGGCGCCAGTACTTACATATATTATTTAATAGTATTGAATGCTATTCACAATATAATATTATGTAATAACAATGTGAAAACTATACATCTATCTTCTATAATACTATAATAAAACTCTAACACGACATCTGTCTGAACACGCATCACACAAAATACTGTGAACTGATATGGATGGGACTTTCACTGGCAGATAGCTGATGTTATAAGGAGTAACTTAGGCTACTTTTATTTTAGGAAAAGAATTAGGGTTACGCGCAAACAAAATTAAAACCCAAGAAATCCAATCGCAATAAATTCCATGCAGGCAAAGTCGCGGGGAACAGCTAGTAGTAAATATAGGTTCAAAGTCTCTGTAACGGGTTACGGCTTAAAACAATTACACAGGTTACGACTATAACCATATTTACGTATTAAATACACTTTGTTGGTTATCAATGAGAATCATATAAGTGTTAGAAAATTAGGCTTGAATTCCTCCTACGCTGACGTCGGTCGCGCGTACTAATGTACATTGTGTTCTATATAGCCCCATACTGCGACGCTAACGACAGCGCCGCGTAATTTGCTGTACGCTGTACGCGACCGACCGTACGCAACCGACGTCAGCGTAGGAGGAATTCAATCCTTAGATCAGTATACGGCGCGGACGACACCAACGGTCGTCTCTTTGTCTTAAGAGACGACAGAGGGAAACTTAAACAGAAGTTGGTCAGCAGCATTGCTGATAACAACTCGAGATTATAAAAAACAACGGTTGCCAACCCGCCTGCCAAATGTGGCAACTATGGCAAGATCAGGGGGGATAAAGGAAATCTATGGGGTGACCTATATTCAGCAGTGGACTTTTATACTGTAATATATGAATGGATGGACGTTAGTATAAATGAGAAACGACGAGGTAACAACGGTTCTTGTTTATCACGTCTGCGGTTTAGAGCTACTTCATTACTTTCGTTACGAATGGTAAAACTCATTACATTTTTTTTTATAGGATAGGGTGACAAACGAGCACACAGTCCACCTGATGGTAAGTGGCCACTGCGACCCATAGACATCTACATCTATCCTCAATAAAGACTCAAGATGCAGATGCGTTGTCACCCGTGAGAACTAAGATGGAATGCCTCTTTGCCAGTAAAAAGGGTCTCCGGTTCTCTACACTCACCATATGAAACACAGCAGCGTTAAGCTGCTATTTTACGCTGGTTTTCTGTGAGAGCGAGGTCCTTCCCCGGTCGAGCCGACCCAATCGTGCTACAACTATACCACTAATATAGCTGCAGCATGGCTCTACCACGTATAAAAAAAATACATGTTAAAATACTCCAAAATAATTACTAAATTCATTGCTAAATTGACCATAATATATATACATACATATATACATACATACCTTACGTGTTAGAGCCATGCTGCAGCTATATTAGTAGTAGGTATAGGTGTAGCACGAATGGATCGGCTCGACCGGGGAAGGACCACGCTCTCACAGAATACCAGCGTAAAATAGCAGCTTAACGCTGCTGTTTCGTATGGTGAGTGTAGAGAACCAGAGACCCTTTTTACTGGAAACGAGGCATTCAATCTTAGTGCTCACGGGTGACAACGCATCTGCATATTGATTCGTAATCGAGGATAGATGTAGATGCCTATGGGCCACAGTAACAACTTACCATCGGGTGGACTGTGTGCTTGTTTGTCACCCTTATCCTATACCTTATCTTTATATATATATATATATAAAGAATGCGCAATGCTTTCGATAGAACGTCCGTTTTGTCAAATACGAAATTGCCATCACTATGTAACATGTGACCTTAGCCTCATGAAACCTGTACACAGACGAAAGTGACTGCAAGAAGGTTAATACTATTGTTCAGTTTAAACTTTCAACGTATCATGGACGACCTGTTTTGCAACTTTAGCTTAAGCAATACATATCGTATCCAAACCTATCTCACACCGAGATGTTATTGTATAATTCTACAAATTAATACACAATTCACAGAATTTTCTGTGCGATCATTTTACAATGTTCTTATCATCCACAATTGAACATAGGCCATCATTACAAGTCGGCTACTGAACATAGACCTCCGATTGACACAAAGCACGGTCCTGAGTCACCTGCTCGACTCTTGTTTCATCATGTTGTCACTCTATCTAGTGAGGAGTCGCCCAGTACTGCGCTTGCCAGAAATAGGTCGTCACTCGAGAACCTTTCTTCCCCATCGCTTGTTAGTGCTTCGAGCTATATTATGGGCGGTCCATCCATCTCCACTTTAGACTACTGTAACGTTGGGCTATATCAGTTACCCACTCGGGGTAGCCATCAAACTGTAACTATATATTCTTCACCTTAAGCTGGCCTTGCGGCTCTCCGTTGCTTCCACCTGACATATACCTATACCTACTAAATAATTTTACTGCCACCTATCGGAAAACATAGATCTACGTAGCATTTCACCGACACAACCGCTATACAATTATTGAATTAGGACCAATTTTGTATTAGGAATATATTTTCAGTAGCGATTTCAGTAAAACAGAAAATTTACTAGTACTTACAATTATACATTTTTATTTTGTTCTAGTGTTAGCAGTAATTAGTATTTTTTTTTGGAGATTATGGCCTGGTATCTAGACCTTTAGGCCAAGTCTTAAGTATTTTTATTCGGTTTATTGTAATTTCCCCACTCCTTCATAGTATACTGCTTCACAATATGTTGATGCGTCACATTGTGCAGTTCTTGGGAGATTTTGGCGGCAACTTGATCCAGCAGACAGCTGATAGTTGGCGATGGTATCTAAAGGTGCCTATGCAAACAAACAGCTTATCTTGAGAATCCATTTTTTTCACTGTTTCCACTAATAGTTCACATGCGTAGACACTTAATACACAAAATCGCAACACTTTTACATATTAAAGTCCACTTCGAACCATTATTTAAACAATAATACAGGAGCAGCAAACCGCCGCCGGTCAATTTCCCGCCAAAACTCCCAACAAAGACCCAGTAATTAGTATGAGGTATGATGGGGTTGGCATGTCATTTCGACAAAAATACCCAAAAAAATAAAAAAAATTTAAGAAAAAAAAATAAAAAAAAATAAAAAAAAATAAAAAAAATGTCCTAATTTTATTGAAATGTCATACATGATTGTATTTATTTATATTGTGCAAGGATCTCTAAACGTAAACGAGAACGGTTTTCTTAATCTTACGAGGTCTAATTGCGCATGCGTACATCCAACTACATAATATTCTATTCACCTTCTGTAAAATTGCGGATCGTTGAAAAAAATTTTAAATCAATTAGACTACATTTCTCTCACAGGCGGAACCGTGTCACGGTCAGACCTTCAGCTAACGTCGATTGGTGGCATATGGTATTTATGTGTTCTTGCTTGCTTGTACAGTGAAACGCATTAACCTATTATGCAAAGCAATAAAGCCCATATTACAAGTAGTAGAAGGATAGAATCACGTAACATGAAACATGAAATACAAGATATGCATTAGATGACCTATTGTTAAATACTTGTAAAGCCAACTGAATTATTAGTGAATGTAACAACTTGTGCAATTCCTGAAGGAACAATATTCAAATACTTATAATTAAATGTAGAAAAATATGTTTGTGTTCATTTGGTAATGTTTTCATGATCCGTTACGGAAGTATACAAATTGTTCTTTAAACGAATATAATATGACACGGAAACAATAAACATATAACATAAAATATATAAGCTTATCGCAGCATGCATGATTATTGTCTTACTGATCCCGTGCTCGTCTTTTATAACCCTTCCGTGTTCAACTGCAGATGTTTTTACTTATGACAAAAATTCATCAGTACCAAAATCTAATGAAAGTAAAAAATATTTTTTCCGTAAAATTTCGAACAGAAAACAACCGTACGTATGTGACGGGCCCTTGACTTTATATGGACTTGCTGCGGTCGGAATTTCGAATCGGAATCCCGAAACGGAATTCCGTATGTATGTGGCCGGCCTTACATCTACATAAATTGCACATGGATAAACATTCATTCATCGAACATTTATTTGTAGGCCGAATATTTTTTTGAATAATATAATACGTAACTACTGTAGGTAAAAGCTTTTCCGTGTGAGATTCGAACGCGCAGCTCAGATTGCTTATATTCAGCATTTTGTGTGATTCAGTGAAATAGCAGCATAGTTAGGCCGGCCACATATATACGGAATTCCGAACGGATCGGCCACACACATTCGGAATCCCGTTTTGCCAGCAAAATTTCGAACGGAAAACTACCGTACGTGTGTGGCGGGTCATAGATTTTATATGCATTTGTTGCATTCGGAATCTCAAATCGAAATTCCGAAACGGAATTCCGTATGTATGTGGCCGGCCTTAGGGAACATTATTTACTTTTGCGCTAAATTTCGTATGGTAAATGACGAAAACCGAATTATTTAATTGATGACGGTTATACACAGAATACAAAATGTCTTAATTCTTACGTGCCCAGACATATGCCGTATTTCGAAAACTTTTTATAACCTTTTCGGTATGTTATATAAATAAATTAATGAATATTTTTTTTTTGTTTACAGTTGGAGGAACAGATGGATGTCCCATGAAATCTGTTGTTCGACGCATCGGAGAGCAACTGTTCGCGGCTCTCAGTGGGAAAGGACTCGCGATGCTTGTGAACCATGGTATCGCTGAGGAGAAGGTGAGTTATTGGACATTTTACAAAGGAATTCAATGGTAATTAGAGATCATGTTAAACCGCACTTTATTTTGTGGATAAAACGTATTTCGAATATATGAGAAATATTTGCGGTTGTCAAACCGAAACGTGGCGTGGCGTGGCGATTATTAGTCCAGTCAAAAACTAAAACTAAAAACTTTGCATTTTTGATATAATGTAGTATTAATGATACAAAACCAATGTGTAAAGGTTTTCGTGACCGGAACTCCCGGCGAGGTTTAAAAAAATTGTATGCCAAATAATCCCCTATTTGAGACAATTCATGAGTGAAAGCAACGTTCAAAAGTTCAACAGTAAATTTTTGATTTGCTGCAATGATGATAATGATAATGAGCAACTTCTCTATCTGACCCCACGGACCAATAGTCCCTACAAATAAATAAATAAATCTAAAACGTTTAAAATTGCTAATTTGCTATTACCTAAATTATTTTGTAATTTTCTTTGAATTCGCCTCTGTGTGTTGCAGTTAAAGACTGTTTATGCAGACTTGGACAACTTCTGCTCCTTACCAGAAGGATGCCAGGCGCAGTACCTCAGGAATCCGGTCAGCAATCATGGCTACGTTCGACCAGGAATGGAACAATTCGATAGCACTAAGAAGGTAAACCTTTTCTTATTATTTTTCTTACATATATAGAAAATGTCTTAAATTTTAAGCACATTATATTTGTAGGATTATTTAGAAGAAAAACAAAAAACAAAACTTAGGACATGAGCTTTCAGTAAAATCAGGTTTTTTTATTGAATCTATTCATATTTTATTAACCCTACCTACCTACCACACCTAGGACCTAGATTAGGCCTAGACTGGACCTAGTAACAAGGCAGCCAGCATAGACCTCAGGGGTGATAACATATCTGCTTTTTTATTCTTAATTGAGAACCGGTTTTGTGTCTTTGATAGTAGGGTTGACGTCTGTTCGGATTGCTCTGGATTTGTCTGAGTTTGAAGGACGTTCGAATTCCGTCCGGAAGGGATTCACAGAACGTCCGGGATTGACAATTTAGGTGATGCCAGCCCCATGTCTATGGTGAAATGGTCAGGTGAAATATGCGCTCTTATGCGTCACCCTTATATTTTGCGAAAAAAAAATTATCTTCTGTTGTTTTAATGTTGTAGCTTGCAGATTAATTAACAAAGGAAAGGAATGAAATGGACGTAACGTTACGTGTTAAATTTAAGCGCAAAACCTTTTTTTTCTGTATTAGAATAGAATAATTTTTATTCAATATAGATTACTACATAATTGAAAGTATTTTTTTATTTACCACTAGTTCGGGAAAATACCTCTGTCCTGGGAAGAACCAGCAAGAAACCCAGCGGGACTGTTTTATTTAAAACATTTTACTTTACAATAATTTTGTTTGTACAATTTTTAAATATGACCAATCAATACCCGTCGCCACTATGAGTAATAATTGTTATAAAAGTAATTCCACGACGTAATCGACTCCTATGCCTAATATCATTACAATTGGTCGAGTCGTTCAAGCGTGATTACAGGACAAATAATTCAAACAAGCATACTTTCACATTTATCTTACGTAAGCTAAGCATAACAATAATAGTAAAATCGTAGTTGGCGACCCACTGAGATAGTCGGCTAGTAACTTTGACTGACAAAGAAATAAATAAACAATATGGAAACAATTTTGTAAAAATGTTCATGAGGCAGTTATTAAGTGGTTTTGGTATAATTTTTATTTAAACTGCCGATCGTATTCCTTCAGCTATTCATCTACCTAAAAAGGGAACATGAGGTTGAATTGACGGCTGTGTGTGTGTGCGCAGTGGCTTAGCAATGAGCTGCAGTACTGTAGGCCGCGGGTTCGAATCCCGCACCGAACAAGTATTTGTATGGACTTCAATTCTTCCGGGTCTGGATGTTTGTCCTCGTGCAATTTATGTTTGTAAATTGTCTCCACGGTACAAGAGAAAATCCTAGTTTTGGAGGTAACGTTTTTTCCTAAACAAGAGAAAATGTGCGTTTGCATTTTCTAGTGATTCTTTAGCAGTTGACAACATATAATCAACGAAAAGTGTCGATATGTTTTTTTTTTTTAATAATAACAAGCCAGTGCTTGCCTACAATCCATCTGGTAGTAAATCGTGATGAAACCTTACGCCGTACGTGGTAAATCGCACTGTCTTACCGTAGCAAAAACCTATTTATGCTTGCCTTAAAGACGTTCAGATTTTATTCCGGCTAGGGTTGCCATCTGTCCGGATTTAGCCGGACATGTTTGGCTTTTTTGGGTTGTGTCCGGCCAAATTTTTTGTGACCGGCCTGTCCGGCTTTTATTAGGCTTTTTGTTAGTGTAACGCGTTGCACGCATCGCTTGCAGAATAAATAAATAAGTAACGTATACACTTGAAACTGTGCTGTGATTGATTGCTGTGAGAATTAACGTATGTAACGGAGTATTTTAGTTCTTTTTTTCAGGGAGTTGGAGTTGGTGAGTTTTTTTGGCTGAATGGCCTTAGGAAGGTATGTTTGGCTAAAAATTACTGTCCGGCTTTTAGGGCCAAAAGTCCGGCTTTTTGGAGCGCAGAGTCCGGCTTTTTCATTTTAGGATATAGCAACCCTAATTCCGACGGAAATACATACGCCGGCAATAATACAGCCGACTTTTGTTAATTCGAAACCCGAAGGACTCTTAAAATATTACGAATTATCGAGTGTTTGAAATATCAAATGGTTCGAAATTTTTGATAGAAAATAAATAAAACTTCGAATTATTAAGTGTTGATCAATTATTATTTATTAACTGCTATTCTTTAACAATGACAATAGTTTAGAGGTACATTCGTGTACATATTCATAATGTGAATTAATTAATGTTTCGAAAGAACTCTGTTATACTGGTTTGCTTCAAAGCACATTGTTGCTGCTCAGACTGCTCAATAACTTCTTTTAAGAGAAAAAGTGCCTTTCTCTCTGCAACTTCGAATTGTCGAGTGTTTGACGCCGATGACTTCGAATTAACGTGTCATTTTGTTTGTAGCAATGATATTTTCGTTTGAATTGCGAAGTGCATAAAAATGTATTGATTTAGTTCGAAATATAAAGAGATTTTGTAGGGAACTCGTGATAACTTTGAATTATAGAGAGGTTCGAATTATCACAGGTTTGAATTAACGAGAGTCGACTGTATTTATTAGGTCATCATAAATCATCGTTAAAATTTATAACTTTGCGTGTTCCGTATACATAATATCTGATTCAGGTTATACTAACATATTATAAATGTGTTAGGCCTAGTGAAAGTGTGAGAATGTATACGATAGTTGAAACAAAAACGCGTTGATATTGTCGATTACTTTTAACAAAACATACAGCAATATCAAGACTTTTTGTTAAAAATAAACTACTTTTTGATATGATTCATAGATATTATCTTTGCAAAAAAGTTGGAAATGCTATTGAATACGAATGAATGGCCTTTGTTTAAAGAATACTAAAGGTACTAAGGTAATAAAAAACTTTCATGTTTAAAAAAATCTGGAGCACTTTTTAATTTTTATCTATGGGATTTTAGTATTATACCTACCTGAATATATCGCTGGTCTTGTGTGAGCATACCCCATACAGATTTTGTTTTTAGGAAGATGCTCCTTTGGGCGCAGTTTTAGCTTCAGCCTAGTAACAGAAGGTGTCGGTTGCACGACCTGTATAAAACCATCAATATTAGTGGAAACCGCAAACGGAACCGTCACTCGCCCACGTTTTATAGTGATTGATGTATCAATCTATATACATATTATCATCATCATCATCATTATAGCCTTTCACAAGTCCACCGTTAAACATAGGCCTCCTTCCTCCTCCAAGGAATGCCACAAAGCATTTGGCACGTGGTAGAGCCATGCTGCAGCTATATTAGTAGTAGAGTTGTAGCACGAATGGGTCGACTGTGTGCTCGTTTGTCACCCTATCCTATATAAAAAAAACAAAGCACGGTCCTGCGCCACCAGCATCCATCGACGACTTCCTGCATGTCTTACCAGGTCGTCTCACATATTATACCTATAATTTTGTATATATATATATATATATATATTACATTGTAGTTCTGCAAATTTGTAGAAGTTATTTCTGTATGTTTTTAGGAGTTGCGTCACTTGTACAACATAACGACGCTGTCGGCGGCGGCCTTCCCAGCTCAGGAGGATGTACCGGAGTTCTCGCAGCACGCAGTACCGCTGGCTCACGACCTCACCAACCTCTCGCGTGTGCTGCTACAGGCTCTCGCTTACGCTTTGGGTAAACTAATGTTACATATTTTAATTTCATCATAACCTATGTATAGTATAACAATAGCAATATCGTGCAAGCAGAAAGCAGTTTTTTTTATATGATAGGGTGACAAACGAGCACACAGTCCACCTGATGGTAAGTGGTTGCTGTGGCCCATAGACATCTACATCTATCCTCAGTAAAGAATCAAAATGCAGATGCGTTGTCACCCGTGAGGGCTAAGATGGAATGCCTCTTTTCCAGTAAAAAAAGGGTCTCCGGTTCTCTACATTCACCATACGAAACACAGCAGTGTTAAGCTGCTATTTTACGCTGGTATTCTATACAATAAAATATAATTGCTAGAAAAATAGATTTGCCATATGATGCAAACTTTTTTATCAGCACTTTTGCGCCTACACTTGTAGGACGCTCAGACAAAACTCTTAATTTTGACTTACATATACATATCGACGCCTTAGAGTGAAAATCTCGTAAGTGTAAAAGAAGTAACTTTTCAGGAGGAAGAAAAAACTGTTAAATTTTTGTATCGGCGTCTTTTAAGTTTTTTTATTAATTAATATGGAAATTTAAATACCTATAAGATTGTCCGAAATGCATAAAATGCTACTTACCTAAAGCATGCAAATACTAGGTTTTCACACATAGGAAGAGAATTAAAATCGTTTATTTTATTAAATTATTTTTATTTTTAGGTTACATTTTCTTTAGTAAACAGTCACGTTTTTGTGATAAACGTCTTTAAAAGACCTACAACGTTGATAACGATTATTGAGTGCTATATTTTTCTGTCTGAGTAACAGTGTGTGAATTATAATAGTTAAATCCAGAAATTACAAATAATTACATTCTCTGAACTAAATGTGATGATAATCCTTCTTGTTAGTTGTGCAAAATCTTCGTCATATGCTTTTTTGTAAAAAATTGTCCCATTACTGCGATACTCGATACAGCGCAAATCAAACACAGTTGCCTCCCCAGCTTTATTTCCAGGTCTAATGGAGTTGAGGTATGGCATGGAGCAGGAGTTAAACTTGTGGAAGAAAGTATGCTGTAAGTAGTCGACGTTGTACGGTTTTGTTAGTCTAGCAGTTTTACAAATTTCAACGTACTGTGCTGGTGAATAAATCTCACGATTTTTATGTTTTCATTCAATTGTGACATGCATGGAGTCACACTCCATTTGAGTGTTACCTTTTTCAAGGTATTTATGCCTAATAGTTAACGATTTTTGCGTTGCAGCAAGAAGTAAGGCGTTTGCCAGTATCGCATTGTGATTTTGATTAGTGCAGCCATCGCTCCAGAATATAACTTGCTTCACAGTGTCATCAACATTATTATTCAAAAAATGATAGGGAATACTAGCAAATTCATCGGCTGTCACGCCTCCTTCACACTCATTCCAGATGAAGCAGTACCCTGTTTTCTTTTTCAATTGTTTCTTTTTTTGGTGAACTCGTATGATTGTTTTTTGGCAGTATTAATTATTAAGAAATTATACTTAATAGTACACTTCTTCACAATATGTTGAGTGTCACTGCGAAGTTTTTGGGAGATATTGACGGCAGCTTAAGCCGCCAGCAGACAGTTACTGTTGATAGCGATAATATCTCAAGGTACCCATAAACAGACACATTACATCTTGAAGTTCATATTACCATTGGAGCATTTGTTTCATCGTTTCCAATAATAGTTCATATACACAAACATTTAATTCACAAAATTGCACCTATTTAAACATTATTAAACTAATGGCTTCCAGACCAAATTTCGGTCACGGCGGACTGTTTGGACGAAGACTAGCCATCTGCGCAGGTCAGGATTATAGTGTCCGAGAGTATGCGTAATGCACTCTCATAGTCCAATGGGACGGTAATTCGACCCTTACCGGAGAGAGATCAGGTGCAGGTCTAACGCATTTACGTGCTTATCAAGACACGTGTATGAAACACTGTCAACTTCCTGACTCCGAGCTGCTGCTAAGAATTTCTCCACAGAAAAACACAATAACTGATTTTGGTCCGACCCGGGATTCTAACCCGGGACCTCATGATCAGCAAACACGTTAACGACCACTAGAGGAACAAGGCAGTCCCACGTTAATACAGGGGCCGTTATCGTTACAGTCTATTAAAGTCCACTGCTGAACTTAGCCTCCCCCATAGATTGCCTCATTTGCCATAGTTGCCACGCTTGACAAGCGGGTTGGCAGCCTCAATTTTTTTTATTCGTAATTAGGAAGACGCTGCTGCCCGTCTCCTGATTTATTTCCCTCTGTCGCCTCTTACGACACCCACGGGTCGATAAGGGTTTGTGGACATTCTTACACCGCCCCTACACTGTGAGATACAGGAGCAGCAATCCACCGGCGGTTGATGTAACAAATACAATGAACGAGAGTTGCAGGGCTAGCGCCGGCGACGCTGCTGGGCTGCCACGCGGGCATGCTGCGCAGCGACGGCGGCAACAAGTCGAGCATGCGGCTGCTGTACTACCCGCCCGTGCCGCCCGACGACGAGCCGCACTGGCGCGCGCCCGCCGCCGACTCGCCGCACTACACGCGCTGCGGCGCGCACGCCGACCGCTGCACCTTCACGCTGCTCGCGCAGGACTCCGAGGGCGGCCTTGAGGTGAGGTTACTTTTTGAAGTGAATTTTGTTTTTAGAGCGCTTTCACATTAGGTCGCAAGTAATGCGGCAGCAGCGCGGCAGCAGCAAGGCAGCCGCGCGACTGCAGCGCATGCCTTCTTATTACAAATATAGCCGCGCGACTTGTTTAGAGTGGCGCACTACAAAAAATATTGTTCAATTGTAGGTATTGTTAGCTATATGTGATGCAAATTATAACTACATGCATAGATGTAGCATCATTTGGAAAAAGTGCTGATTCTCAAATGTTTAAAACAACTCAATATCTAAGGCAATTTTAGAAAATAGAGTGGATCTACCTAATCCTGCACCTCTCTTTAGTGGTGGACAACCTTTGAACTACAGTCATTGGTGACGAGCCTCTTGTACTCTCTGATCATATACAACATCCGTACGGTGGAAACGATTTGGCTATCGAACAGAGAATTTACAACTACAGATTGTCAAGAGCACGTCGATATATAGAATGCACATTTGGCATATAAAGTAGTAAATGGAGAATATTCCACCGCCCGTTGAACGTCTCAATTAATTTAGCTGAATATATAGTAAAGGCTTGTTGTATTCTGCCAAATTTTATACGACAACGAAATGGATTTAATTATTGTCACACTGGACACGCAAAATACGCGCATAGACGTGGAGTTGCGGAAAACAGCCCGTCGTGAACTAATCACACGTTATCACATGTATTCGCAGAGGAAGAGGAGGATGAAAATATTAGACTGTATGATCCAACTGGTGTTCACCGCAACCTAGGAAGAGTCACAATTCGTAACGCTTTTGCCGACTATTTTGTATCGCCCGAAGGGGAAATCCCGTGGTAGAATCACATGATTTAGGAGAGTCTTGTTTGAATAATTAAAATAATAAAATACGCACATATAATATAATAACATGCCTGCTGCACTTTTCTCTGACGTGGTTTTATTATTTAAATTTGGAATAAAAAATTCGATAAATTCATTCCAGATTTTCTTTTTTATGGTCCAGTTGCTATAATTATCGGTCCTCGATTCCCAAAAAGCAGGACGCATTTGAACTTCAATGATAAATTGTTCTGTATCGAATTCACTCATTGTGCAATAATGGTTCGAACATTTGCTTGCAACACTGACTCGAAGCCGACTGATCGCACGCGGCTGCCGCGCTACCGTCCGCTATAACAATCACGTGTCACGCGGCTGTCGCGCGGCTGTCGCGCTGCTGTCGCACTGCTCTTCTTAGTATGGAAGTCTGCCGCCTGTGAACAGCTCGACTGTCGCGCTGCTACTACCGCGTCGCTTGCGGCTTAATGTGAAGGAGCCCTTAGAATCGTTGTGATTTAAAACTCGATGAATCGAAAAAGCGACACTAAAGAGATGAAACAAATACATGTATAGGATTTAGCCTGCGAGAGAATGAGACAGAATACAGTATACAGTGTTTGCTATTATCTCGGTTTCCTTTTCTGAAGGTTTCACTTCTACCGCGTGTGAACTACACATTTGTTTATATAGAATAAGGGTTACAAACTAGCACACAGTGCACCTGGCGGTAGGTGAATGCTGTGGCCCATACACATCTACATTTATCCTTAAGTATCAAAATGCAGATACGTTATCACCCCTGAGGACTGAGATGGAATGCCTCGTTTCCAGTAAAAAAGGGTTTCCGGAGAGTGTAGAGCACCATACGAAACACAACAGTATTAAGCTGCTATTTTACACTGGTATTCTATGAGTGCGTGGATCTTCCCCCTTGGATATATAAATTACTTTGAAGCGATAAAAGTATTTATTTTGATAAAAATCAAATTTTATTGCATTTATGGTACACTATTTTGGTAATAATGGCTTACACGTAGAACTATTTAGAAGAAACAATTCCACCATACATTGTATTCGTGAAAATCTTACAGATTTTGCACCGGACGCCAAAATAGCTCGCAGATGACGTCTTTTTTCCCACTGACTTAACAACCAGTTTACACAATATCTTTTTGAATTATAGTCTATGTTATTCTGACGTATGTGCTATATTATTGTTAAGTTTCACATTTAGTAGTTTTTGCGTAAAAGAGTAACAAACATCCGTACATCCTCACTAACTTTCATATTTATAATATTAGTAGGATAGTAGAATTGGATGTGTTTTCAGTTCATAGTATTTTGGTCCCAACCTTGAATTGTTGGATGTAGATAAATTATTAATAATCAATTATAAAAGTAATCAATTATCGATAAAAGAATTAAAAAAAGTATTTTTAAATTGGTTGCTTTATTATGGCTCAAAGATATTTCACAATCAGAATTAATTCTTAATAAAAAAAACCATGAAGAATTAAGGTCTTTTAGGACGCCATTTTACTCAAATCTATTCCAGTACTGTCACTGGCCTAAAAAGATAAAGTTCAAAATTAAAAAATAAATTTTTCATTTACCACTGTAAATAAACAATTACAACGACAAAAGACTTAATAGTCCACCAACTATAGCTTATAAAGAAGGTCAGATATGCATTGCCACCCCTGAAGAAAGATGCTTTCATCTTTACAGCCTGTAATTGTACTTGCATAGCAATTGAAATAGCCAACATTGCGGTATCAATTCAAACGAACTCCTTGGCTTAAAAGGAATCCTTCCACCAAAGCCTAGCTCACATCTGCAACAAACTTAAAAAAAAAATCTACATGTCAGTAATTATCTCAATTCACTCTGCCTGAGTAGAACAATAAGCAGCGGATCATTATGCTACTGTTTATTTGTTTTATAACATGATTGTATATAGATAGAGTTATTTATATACGATTATATTATAGGACGAGGTCGTCACACTGAGTCTTGTGAGTGAAGAACTGCTATGGGAGATGTTAAAATAATTTAAAATTTAAAATTTTGTACAACCGACTTCAATATAAATTATTAAGTACCTATAACTCAAAAACTATTGGTCAGACATTATTCAAATTTAGATGGGACCGCATGTGAAGCACCAGCTTTTAAATCAGAATCATCGAAATCAGTTCACCCAATAAAAAGTTATGAGGTAACACACAAAAAAAAAACATACAGTCGAATTGATTACCGTCTCATTTTTGAAGGCGGTAGAAAATGTTATCGCTTTAGATACCAAGGTGTATTGTTTTTTCCAACTGTCCCGTATTCTGACATTTTTCTATTTATACATAGTTATCTCTTACCACATACAAAGGACGAAATGAGGTAAAGAGTTCTCTTACACCGTCTCCTGAACGGGAAATGGAGAGAAATGAGCATAATAAACGGAGCAGTTTGAATCCGAACTTGTGAGAGACTATTACGTAATGGATTGTTGATTGAACATTGTCAAGATGAGGAACTTAAATTTAGTGCGTAAATTTTTACTACGTGGTAGGATTCCTGCTTAGGAGTCTTGCTAAGTACGTAACACCATCTTTCCTATTTCTGTTGCCAAATAGTCCTTACACAAATAGTCCTTACACTGCTGTGTAACGGTCTGAATGGTTTGGAGAGCTAGTTAAATTACAGACAGAAGCATTCATCTTAGTTCTCAGAGATGTCCACGCATTTGTAGTTCTGTAGCTTTCTTTGTTTGAAAGTGACTGCAGGTGGCCATGAATTGCAGTAGCAACTACTAACAGGTGGACTGTAACCTGTAACTTAGTTTTTCTCTTGAGAAATTGTCTGATTTTATATGTGATCTCATCATACCTATACATACGTACATGATGTGCAGGTGAAGTTGAACGGCAGCGACAAGTGGCAGCCGGTGGGACACCTGCCCGGCGCGATCCTGGTGCAGACGGGGGAGCTGCTGGCGTCGTGGACGACGAACCTGCTGCCGGCGCTGCTGCACCGCGTGGTGGTGCCGTCGGGCGCGTACGCGCGCGCGCGCGGCCGCCACTGCGTGGCGTTCTTCTGCCTGCCCGACAGCGGCGCCGCGCTGCCGCCGCTGCCCGCGCGCCCGCCCACCGCGCCGCCGCCGCCCGCCTGCCCCGCGCACGCGCACGCGCACCTCACGCTGCACCACCGCCTGCTCAACGCCGCGCACCACCTGCACAAGCGCTTCCGCGAGACCTACGCCTGACTAGCGCGCGACGCCGCCACCCTACACACGCCGCACACGCCGCACACGCCCCTCTCCCGACGACACACTTCGCCTTGAACACACGACGTTTGATTCTTAACGCTTGACCACTCACTCGTATTCGCTTTTTTCGTATTCATGAAATTATAATGATTTCTTAAACACTACACACAAATTTGGATGAAACTAGTTTTTACGGATTTTACCGCGTTTGTTAACCTACTAGCGATCCGCCCCAGCTTCGCACGATTGATTTCTGGATCTAGACAACAACGCCAGCTACCGGGTCATATTGTGAATCTAAACGACTTTGTTTTTATACATAGTAGAGCCATGCTGCAGCTATATTAGTAGTATATTTGTAGCACGAATGGGTCGGCTCGACCGGGGACAGACCACGCTCTCACAGAATACCAGCTTAAAATAGCAGCTTAACACTGCTGTGTTTCGTATGGTGAGTGTAGAGAACCGGAGACCCTTTTTACTGGAAAAGAGGCACTTCATCTTACTCCTCACGGGTGACAACGCATCTGCATTTTGATTCACAAACGAGAATAGATGTAAATGTCTATGACCACAGCAACAACTTACCATCAGGTGAACTGTGTGCTCGTTTGTTACCCTATCCTATAAAAAAATAAACCAATCTCCAATAAACTAATCACACACAAAATTTCACAAAAATCGGTCCAGCTGTTTAGGAGGAGTTCAGTCACATACATACTGACAGAAGAATTATATAATAATATAATATGCATGTATTATACATATAAACCTCCCTCTTGAATCATTGTATCTGTTGATGCAAACCGCATCAAAATCCTTTGCGTAGTTTAGACGGCGGGGAGCAATTTTGTTTTAAGTATAAAACAAAATCGCATCCCGCCGTAATTTAGATATTTACACATATTAATGTAGATATTTTAAATTCCCGATGTTTCGAGTACTTGATCATGGGTGCTATAAAGTACTCAAAACGTCAGGAATATAAAATAAGTTAGGAAACGCGATAAAATCCGTAAAAACTAGTTTCGTTCTTGAAAATATGTTAAAATGCCTTTCAAAGTATGTGCAAATTTATATATACACAATTTTTAACATGAGAACACGATCTCTCCACACGTCACAGTTGAGAAAACACAGTTTATGAAATTTTTGAAATTCATAATTTCTGATTCATCAAAAAAAAAAAAACAAAAACGAAGGGAATACGAATTAGCGCACAAACGCCAAAAGACTGTCAATTATATGGGTAGAAGTAGGCATATCAGGCAGTTTTTGTTACTTTTATTTTATTGTAAAAATTTCATTCCTATTAACTGTTGGTATTACAATCGACGGGGTGCGGAGACAATTATATTTTGAAACTGATTCATTTTTGAAATTCAGCATTCAACGCAACTCAGTATTTTCGCATGTTTCTGTTACTTTTACTGGCCGACCTTATCGTACAATTACGTAATAAAGTCTGGGCCACAGTTAGAGAGCAAGAAAACTATAACTTTTATATTACTTAATTCTCTTTTAGATATTAAAGCAAGTATTTTAAACATACAGAAGAAATTTTGATAATTTAAACTGTACTTACCTGACACTACTTAATAACCACGCACATCAGGCATTAAGTATATTATTTAGAACATCTTGTCGTAAAGGTTTCATTTACGAAAAGACATTATAAATAACATCAATAATAACAATAAAAATGTGCAGTTTTTAAAAAAGAATTAAAAATGTATCAATGAGTACAATAGGATCGAGCTAAATTATATCCTTTATTCTTAAACCAATATGAAAGAAAGACGGAGCGTTGCGTATATTTTAAGTGATGCAAAAACCAATTCAAAACCATGCAAAACTTGTAAATACACTCACTGGTATACACATATAAATCTAAAATCAATTAAAACCACGGATTGCCACCAAGAACATCATTGCATCCAATAGTGAACTTTCACTGTCTGATAAAGAAAGAAAGAAGAAAGATGAGTGCATGTCAAGAAGTTGAACCTGATTTCGGCATCACTTGAAATGCACGTTTATCCGTCCGTCTATCATTTTTATTTTGAACGAGCCTATATTATATAAGGTACTTAACTTCTTACTTTTATTTTTAGTTTTGTCATACATGTTTATATATTTCTTTAAAATAAGTTTTTTTCTGTTCCTCAACAATTTCTTAGCAGTCTTACTAAAAGTATTTCTGTACATCACATTGTAAATGCAAATAAACATTGTCATAGAAGGTAGGTATATTATAAAATATAATAATACAAAAAAAAAACAAAAATATTAAAGCAAAAACAATAGGTATTAAAGAAAAAAGGTTTCATTTAAATGCAAAATATTTTGATTTATTATATTATTAAGTATGCTCGATTTTGAAATTTAGTAAAGTTGTAAAAACAGATACTTAAAATATTCATAATTATTTCGAAATAGCTCTCTTGCTATAGAACTATAAAACTTGTCCGCAAAACGATTTTAGATAGGATATTTAAAGAGTATATAAGACGGTTTAACTATCATTCCCAATTGGCATTTCACACATTATGTGAAAATTTAGTTTATCGTAGAGGATTTGCTTAGCGCAGTTTTCTTAGAATTAAATTTATTTCGATTTGTGAATAATCCTTTATTGGATTTTAGATAAGTAGTTAAATAGCAATTAGCGACGTGTATTCAACTTGTTACTTGAATTTACCTTTATTACTATTTTATTCTTGTGTTCTCGCTTCTGCATTTTATAATGTTAGGTTGTAATTTAATCAACTGTATTCTATTTATTCACGATTACGTATTCCTATATATTAAGTATATCGTGTGATAATTGTGTAGCTCAATTTAGTATTTGTACTTATTAAGTATACGACGAAGTGTTTGAACATCGAAATTATAACTACTTATGTAAAGAAAATTTTGTAAGTTGTACTTAAAGTCTACTTTGTTTTGTTTATATACCTACTGTTATATTTTACTCAGCGGTGTAGCAGGCGGGGCCGATGAGACTATGGCAATTTTATACCGCATTTTGGTGATCAAAATCAGCGCCCCGCTTTATCTTTTAAATGGCGGCAGTAAATATCTCAAAATATCAGAAAATCGTTTGTTACTGGATACTTTTGATAAAAATATTACGAACACCATAACATAGCACGTATAAAAGACTTACAGATTATTATATTTTTAAGATACTTCGAAAATGTGACGGGGGGCGACATTTTTGGTCTAGTGGCCCCGTGCGGCTGCCCATCCATTATACGCCACTGATTTTACTTCCTTGCAAACTCCCAAAGAGTATTTATTTACACTAAGACATTGCGTACTTATTTTCATATGTTGGCAATTTATTGATAACAAAGTATAAAACACACTGACGGTATTATATTTTTTAATATTTTCGATACCTTTACTTCGAAAAAATGCACAAAGGCTTAGATGTTTACTATATAATATTAAAGCTCAATAATTTCATCACAGAGTGTTTCATATTTTTACAAAGTATTATAAACTCAAGAATCGTACAATACCTCTGTTAAACAAATGTATAAGATATTTATACTTTTGGAATATAAAACTGCGACCATTGACCTAGAAATAAATTTCTTCAAAACATAAATGTGTTTATTATTTGAAGCATTGACTTATATGTTACACTTCACACACACATACGTCTTGTATAACTCAATAATTTGAAGTACCTATATAATTTGTATAATTGAAATTAAATTGGAAGTCGTAGCTTATCATACAATAAATGAAAACTCGGTTATGACTATGTAGTCTTATAACACTTACCTTTAATTATAACAGTGGTAAGTGGTAATATTGCTTTCTTTATTTTCTAAGCATAGTTTTTTGACTCGTCGCCTAGTAAAATATTATCCCTTTCGCACCTGGCTTAAACGATAGTGAGTTCATATTTCTTAAAAATATGTAAGCGCGGGAAATCTGTTTGGTCGCACGCGCCCGGAACCACATAATCGTGCGTTGGTCAAATAACCAATCAAAAATAGTTTCGCGGCATTCAGGGGTCAGTGTCGTTGCACGTGCGGCCAAAATGGCGGTGTTTCTCGATCCCGATACTAAGCGTCGTAAGTATTTGTATTATTTACATGTTTTTTTTTTATTGATTTGTTCATGTACATGTGTTATTTTCATTTTTATTGATCTATAAATCTTAACTTAACCTAACTTAAAGTATCGGCCCATTTGGTTAGTGGCAAAATAAAGAACTCACTTACGTGAGTTCTCGGGTTTATTTATACCTCCTCACAAAAATGAGTTGCCTACATTTACTGTTTTTTATTAAGGTTAAATGGCTGTCTTTATATTTTTTAGGTATGCCATTGAATTTTGAGCTTGTACTTGACCTACTTAATAACGGGGAATGCTCGGATATTGATATCCATGAGGCCGACGAGGATTTTTGTCCACAACCAGGAGCTACTAAATATGATGCCCATGAAAAGGAATCTCCTCCCTCACCAGACTCAAAAAAGAGTTATTCTAGTTTAGTTCGTAAAGAGCACGAAGGTGATGGTCCATCAAAAACAAATAAACAGAAGAAAAGTAGGAAATTCAAAAAGAAACCTAAACAAAACACACAATTAAAAGTGAAGTTTGGACAACGTCGACGCATTTGGAAAAAAGTGATTATATTGATAAGCCTCATAACTATCCCGGCCATCCTAAACCGGACAAAGTTCAATCACCAGTCGAATATTTTGGTGCATATTATGATGAGGATTTTTTCGAAAACATGGCTCTCTGTACTAATCTCTATCACATGAGACATACCGGCAAAGTTTTAAATACTAATAAAGAGGAAATTAAACGGTTGTATGGTCATCTGTTGATGGGTATTCTTTCTTATCCTAGATATGCCATGTACTGGCGCAGAAATATAAGCATCAATATAATTACTTCTGCAATGACAAGAGACAGATTTTCTCTTTTGCGAAATAATTTACACGTTGTTGATACGGATACAGTGCGAG